CGTGAGTTCGGTTCCCGGTACCGGAGAAAAACCACAAAAAAAAAAAAAAAAAAAAAATACTAAAACTAGAAATTCCACTTTACCCTGCTATTCCCCTTCTAGGTATCTTCCTGAAAGAGTTAAAAACATTATATTACATTGATGATGTATACCCAGGTTTACAGTGCACAATTCATGATAGCTAAATCTTGGAAGCAGCATACCTGTCCACCAAGAGATGAATGGATAAAGAAAATGTGGCATTTACACATCATGGAGTACTACTTTGCCACGGAGGATAAACTTGAATCATTTATAGGAAAATGGATGCACCCCGAGACTATAATGTTAAAGGAAATAAGTCAGACACACAAGCTTAAATATCACATGGTTTCTAACCTGAAGTATAAAGACCAAAATAAAAGATAGATAAGTGGAAATAGGGAGATAGATCTTTCTCAAATGGGAAGGGGATCAAAAGATGGAGGGAAGGGGCTGGGGATTTAGCTCAGCGGCACAGTGCCTGCCTGGCAAGCGCAAGGTCGTGAGTTCAATTCCCGGTACTGGAAAAAAAAAAAAAAAGAGAGAGATGGAGGCAGAGAAGGGAAAGATGATGAAAAAGGAATTAAGATGTGTTATGTACCTGTAGCAACTCCATACAAGAAGTGCAAACTTTATGTAATGCAAACATATACTAATAAAAAATAAAATAAAAGCTCCCCATATGACTCTAATGTGTAGCCATGGTAGTGGACCATCCCAGACTCTCCCTACCCAGCAATGGTAACTATGGGTCTCCTGTAGCTATCAGCTGGAGTGTTAGTCTGATATTAGCTTCTCTGCCATTATTGCAAGCAGAATTTGTCTAAATATGTTATATTTAGATTTTTTTTCTTTTTGGTGCTCTGCTTTTCCTGTTTACTAAATATATACTTAGTCTTTTTTTTTTATTTATTTTTTTTTATTATTTTTTTTTTTATATACTTAGTCTTTGTACTGGATAAACCAATAATAGAGGCTTACTGTCTGTTCTGAGAACTTACCTCACTTAAATTTCACTAAATAATCCAATAAATTAGTTATTATTTCTAGTTCCTATCAATGTTTCAGAGACTGAAAATAATGATAATGTCTTGAGTGCTTAATAAAAGTTTAAGGTAAACTTCACTCTATTTTCTGAGACAGGTTACACTGTACATTCATATGTTTCCATTTCTTTTCCATACAGGGGATGGAACTCAGAACCCTGCATACACTAAGCAAGAGCTCCAGCACTGAACTACAGCCCCAATCCTTGTTTTAAAAGTTAAAAAGTAGAGAGGGTAGACTGTGAGAAGCTTCACTCTCACCTTTCTTACATGGCTTTCTAAAAACTGGCAGCTGACCGGGCGTGGTGGTGCATGCCTGTAATCTCAGCCCTTGGGAGGCTGAGACAGGAGGATCACCATGAGTTCAAGGCCTGCCTGGGCTGCAAAGTGAGTTTAAGGCCAGCCTGAACTGCATAGCGGGACCTTGTCTCAAAAAGACAAGAGAAAAAACACAAACCCACAAACAAACAACAACAAAAACTGGCAGCCACCTTTTTGGTCTCCTGCATTTTACAAATTGTTTGTACCCCGTCTCTTCTAATGCTGTGAACTCTTGACCAAAATTTTTTTTGTGTGTGTCTTTTTGAGACAGGGTCTCGGTATGCAGCTCAGGCTGGCCTTGAGCTCACTTTGTAGCCCAGGCTGGTCTCGAACTCACAACGATCCTCCTGCCTCAGCCTCCCAAGTGCTGGGATTACAGGTATGCGCCATCACGCCTGGGGACCAAAAGTTTTAAAAATGACATCTTCCAGTAGGAAAGGATCCATTCCAGTTGATTCTACATGTATTGAGCCATACTGTGTGCCTAGAACGATGCTAACTATTGTGGATATCAGCATGAGTCATATTTTTGAGAGTGTACTTTTCTTAATCAGAAAGGAGAAGAGCAAAATGAAGAACTACTTGTAAGAAAAGCTAATGCCTTCGACTTGACCCAGTTGGAAGAGTTGCTAGGAGAAGGTTCTGCCTGTGTCCTGCTGAGGCCTAGAGTTAAGGTCATAATCTTGGCCCTGTTTCCCTACCAAAGTCTCCCAGCCCAGCAGAGGCCCTCCCTGCTTGCAGTCAAGTGCAACAGAGGGTCCAAGGAGCTTGCTAAAGCTTGATGTCTATCTCAGTTTTCAGGGAGAAGGAAAAGCTAAGTTAAGCTTCAGTATCAGATTGTTTATTTTTCATTCCTGAGGACTGAACCCCCCAGGGCCTTTGTGCTGAGCTACATCCCCAGCCCGTTTTAATTTTTCATTTGAAACAGGGTCTCACTAAGTCACTAAGCTTCCCAGGTGGGGCTTGAACTTGTGATCCTCCTGCCTCAGCATGCCGGCATTACAGACATGCACAGACTGGGCCAGCAACATTAGAATGTTGAAGTAGCTACGGTTTTCAAGTGAACATTCAAACCAAGTCTGAAAGGGCCGAATCCTTTTCCCAGCAGCTGAGAAAACATGGAGTGTCCACAACAGACGGGAGAGATCCTGGAAGCTGAGCAAACCCACACACCCCTTGTATTGGCCACATCTTCAGCTTCCTGCAGGAGACCCTGTACACAGCGGGAGGGACTGGATGGCAGGCCAGCAGCTATTGCCAGGAATTTGGGAGTACTGCTGAGGAAGGGTAGAAATTATAACCCGGTGAGCATATTTACCTCTGGGCACCATTTTCCCTCTACAGGAACTGTGCATTGAGCACATTTTACCTGAGAGCCATGCCTCGCCAGAGAATAAAAACTGTGTGTTTGTCAGTGCTGCCTTTTCCACTGGTCCTCAAGGCTGGAGTTGGGACCAGTGCCTTCCACAGGACAACAGACCAGGCTGTTCCGTTTCCTGCGAGGGCCAAGCTTCCCGGGTGGTGGCTTTCGAAGTCTTTATCTCACCGGTAGCTCAAACGTTCAGAACAAAATTGATAAGCACTTTTCTTTCATAAGATGATGTAAAAAAAGTTCCTAGGGAGCACAGGCTGGTGAAAGGACCTTACCTGCATAGTATCCATAACTGATTCTCCTGGGAAGTGTGAGAAGCCTTTTTAGTATGCTGTCCTTACGGTTTAATTTTAGCGACTGGTACAAAAGGAAAAAAGACTGGTAGGCGTCTTTTTCATTTCCAGCCTCCTTGGCCCCCCACTTCTTCCTTGTCTAGGGCTTAGCTTACTCAGTGGGAGTTTGCAGGAATTGGATTCTCAGGGTGAGAGAGGCCAATAGCACCGCTAGCAAGATAAGCCCCACATGCGTACATTTTCCACGTAGCCACATTAAAAAGGATAGAGACAGCTGACATTAATGTGAATATTTTATGTAACCCAGTATATCTAACATAGGATTTCAAGGTTAGGGATGTAGCTCAGCAGTAGGGTGCTTGCCTAAGATGCCGCAGCCCCTGGGTTCCATCCCCAGTTCTCCCCACAAAAACATTTCAACATGCAATCATTGCAAAAATTATTATTATTATTTTTTTTTGGTACCGGGAATTGAACTCAGGACCTTGTACTTGCCAGGCAGGCGCTTATGCCGCTGAGCTATGTCCCCGGCCCCACTTTTTATATTTTAAATTTTATTTATTTATTTTTAAAATCTGGATTTTTTTTTTTTCTTTCGGAACTGGGAATCAAACTCATGACCTTGTGCTTGCTAGGCAGACACGGTGCCACTGAGCTATATCCCTGGCCCCAATCATTGCAAAAATTATTGATGTGATATTTTACTCTTTGGTATTAAGACTCAGATCTGGTGCATCGTCTGCACTGACGGGCTGGCCGCATTTCTAATGCCCAGTAGCCTATGTGGCTCGTGGCCACCGTATCACGCAGCACAGGCCTACGCGTAGGCCACAGTGCCGGCGTCAGCAACCCTGCTAGCTTGCATGCTGGAAACCCTCGAGGCCACGTTCTGGGAGCATACAGCGAGGATGCAGGCCGCGGGAGTTTGGGATGGGTCCGTGGCGGGGATTAAGCACGAGATGTGCTGATTTAGGTAAGTGGAAACCAAAGCGAAGGAAAGTGCGTTGTAGGTGGGGACACCTTCGAGCCTTGGCAGAGGCGGGACGTGGCCACTGCAGGACTAAGGAGACCCTGGTGCAGGGCCTGCGTTCTGTGCCCTGGGGTGATCTTTGGCTGACTGCTGCTCCCTTTTTGTCTTTTCTTCTCCCTCCTGCCCCTCTCCTGCCAGCGGTGGTCCTCGGCCTGCCCAGCACCCGGGCCACCGAGTCCTGCTTGCGCGCCTGCCCGGCCGCCTGCAGCTGCAGCAACGCGGAGCGCGGCTGCTCCGTGCGCTGTGACCGCGCGGGGCTGCTGCGGGTGCCCGCCGAGTTCCCGTGCGAGGCGGCCTCCATCGACCTGGACCGCAACGGCCTGCGCATCCTGGGCGAGCGCGCCTTCGGCACGCTGCCGTCGCTGCACCGCCTGTCGCTGCGCCACAACAACCTTTCCTTCATCACGCCCGGCGCCTTCAAGGGTCTGTCCTGGTTGGCCGAGCTGCGCCTGGCGCACAACGGCGACCTGCGCTACCTGCACGCACGCACCTTCGCCGCGCTCGGCCGCCTGCGACACCTCGACCTGGCCGCCTGTCGCCTGTTCAGCGT